GATAATCCATTTACAGTTTATGTACAAATACCACTCTCATTTATGCACAACTGAATGAAACTATATACAGTGTTATATGTACATAAAGTTGCATTCTTTATGAACAATCAGATGATCCACTTACTGTTGATGTACAAATACCACTCTCATTTATGTACAACTGGGTGAAACTATATAGTGTAAAATGTACATAAACTGCATTCATTATGAACAATCAGATGATCCATTTACAGTTTATGTATATATACCACTCTCATTTATGTACAACTGGGTGAAACTATATACAGTGTTATATGTACATAAACTGCATTCATTATGAACAATCAGATGATCCATTTATAGTTTATGTATATATACCACTCTCATTTATGTACAACTGGGTGAAACTATAAACAGTGTAATATGTACATAAACTGCATTCATTATGAACAATCAGATGGTCCACTTACTGTTTATGTACAAATACCACTCTCATTTATGTACAATTGGGTGAAACTATATACAGTGTAATATGTTCATAAAGTTGCATTCATTATGAACAATCAGATGATCCATTTTGAGTTTATGTACATATACCACTCTCATTTATGTACAACTGGGTGAAACTATATACAGGGTAATATGTACATAAAGTTGCATTCATTATGAACAATCAGGTGATCCATTTACAGTTTATGTACATATACCACTCTCATTTATGTACAACTGGGTGAAACTATATACATTGTAATATGTACATAAAGTTGCATTCATTATGAACAATCAGATAATCCATTTACAGTTTATGTACATATACCATTCTCATTTATGTACAACTGGGTGAAACTATATACAGTGTAATATGTACTTAAAGTTGCAATCTTTATGAACAATCAGATAATCCATTTACAGTTTATGTACATATACCACTCTCATTTATGTACAACTGGGTGAAACTATATACAGTGTAATATGTACATGAAGTTGCATTCATTATGAACAATCAGATGATCCATTTACAGTGTATGTACATATACCACTCTCATTTATGTACAACTGAGTGAAACTATATACAGTGTAATATGTACATAAAGTTGCATTAATTATGAACAATCAGATGATCCATTTACAGTTTATGTATATATACCACTCTCATTTATGTACAACTGGGTGAAAATATATACAGTGTAATATGTACATAAAGTTGCATTCATTATGAACAATCAGATGATCCATTTACAGTTTATGTACATATACCACTCTCATTTATGTACAACTGGGTGAAACTATATACAGTGTAATATGTACATGAAGTTGCATTCATTATGAACAATCAGATGATCCATTTACAGTTTATGTACATATACCACTCTCATTTATGTACAACCGGGTGAAACTATATACAGTGCAATATGTACATAAAGTTGTATTCATTATGAAAAACCATATGATCCATTTACAGTTTATGTACATATACCACTCTCATTTATGTACAACTGGGTGAAATCATATACAGTGTAATGTACATAAAGTTGCATTCATTATGAACAATCAGATGATTCATTTACAGTTTATGTACATATATACCACTCTCATTTAGGTACAACTGGGTGAAACTATATACAGTGTTATATGTACATAACAGTTTATATACATATACCAGCTGTGTGTTGCCATTTGTGTTGTTCATGTTGTTACACTCAGTACAATTTTAGAGAAATCTTGTAACCTTGTTAAATACTTATTTTATTTAATAATGGCATTTTTATCTTAATCATTTACTTTTAGCTAGATGCCAGTAGTCAAAGTAATGCGTAGTATCAGGCCTTTCATCTCTCATATACCTATTTAGTAAAAGTAATCATGTATATTTACATTGTAAGCAATTGGCATTTGTGAATATTTTTGAGTGTAATAATTACAAAAAGTGATTGCCATTGAAGGCAAAAGTGTAAATTGTTTTCCCAGTACCCTGCGTGCATATGGTCAAATTTGGCCGACGAACACTGATTGGCGCGGTGAGTTCACAGGTTTATTTTAGTTTGAAAGAGTGAAGACGAAGCTCTGTTTTAAGAAGTGAAGTCAAACGAATGCAAATGGTATTTTCCCAGGGGAATATCCTCTAAAGTGTAAAATATGAACGCAAAGTATTCATGTTAAGGTGAAATGTGAATGACCTAATTCCATGGTAACTTGTCTTTCTGCATAATGATTTATTTTATATATTTTTAAGTGAATTTCTTCATATACTAGTACTAGAGTTTATAATTTACATACTTCTTAACAGACCCATCCCTGTCAGTTGTTATGCTTTCTGTTGCTACGTCACCCTGCCCAAGTTGCTAAAAACAGCAAGATTTTGTAAAAATGTCAGCCATTGCTACGCTTTGGTGTTGCTGTTATCTAGTTCAAAATGACAAGGCAGAAAAACTGGTATTTATTTATCTGGTGTACCATTAACTTGGGGCTATCCCATGACTCTGCATGGCTCTGGTAGAAGTCTTTTGCAGCAGCTTGGTCAGTCGGTCTCGTGTTTTGCAAATTCGTTGAGAACTTTTGATCTTATTGATGAAGCTGAAAAAAGTGGATATTTTTCACAGGAGATGAACTCTACTGCAAGACTAGCTTATATAATACGAGCCTTGCAAGTAAAATCAAACTCCTTTTTATCTAACAGCTCCTTATCATTGCGAAGTTAAATATATTTTGCAATTTTTGAATTAATTGATCATTGCCCAAAACTTCATCCGTACTGTAGTTTCTGGTGCAAATTTATTTTTTAAAACTTCAAAGCTTATTATATACTCTAACTAATGTTGATGTTCCGACTTTTCTGTTAATTCGCCTATCCTCTATGCTGTTCTTTGTCATAATAATCTTATCATTTATGTGTCTTAGATTATAACATTAATTCTCATCCATATACATGTACAGCTGACATTTGTCTAACTGGAGATTCTGTAAAAAGAAGACTTATTTTACAGGAGAGGAACTATACTGTAAGACCAAATTTACATTCAGGCCTTGCAAGTACAATCAGACTCCTTCTTAACTATCAGCTGGTATTCAAGCTTATAATTCCTTATTTATCTATATTGTAGCTTTGCTGTTATTTGTAGCTTATGAAGAATCTCTTTCAACAGTGAGGCTATAAATCATCTATCCTGTCATTTTATACTGTAAGTACATATTCCTCCTGTTTTGTCAATTGCTTGTTTACAATTCAATTGCAAAGGGTGATGGTAGTCTTAGTGTAATTGGATGATATAGAGTTGTTTCAGCTGTTTTTTAAAAGATTTTAAACTTACTATCACAAATGCAACAGATAAACAAGTATCCATTGGTGAAGACAGACAGTTTATAAAGATCAAAAGAATTTCGGCAACCATCTTGAATGAAGCTAACTGCAGTTAGTCATCCAGCTGTGGAACAGCGATCTAGGTGTAATGTTTCAATATTACACAATCATGGTCAGTCTTACTCAAAACACAATAATGTAGTATTCAAATTTATCAAATATTGATGACCATTTTAATTACCTCGAACAAGGCGGGCTTGAGCAACTTTGAACCCCTGGTACTGTCCAAATGGATCTGGATATTTCTCCCTTATCCTCCAAAATCAACAGCTAGGTATGACTACCCTGTTGGCGACCGTGCTCCCATAGCACATATTGACGGCAGGCGCCATATCTAAATGCCCTGGCAACATCGGCATCACCATCTTCTGGATCATAATCGCCATATCCTATCAGATCTTGTTGATGGGCTAATGCAATTGCAATTACTGTCCTGTCTAGAATAGCTATATCCATCTCCTGAAAGAAAAGCATAAGTTTCTTATCATTCCCCGCACTTGCTCTTACAAACTGAACAAAATAATCATTTATTTAGCAATGGCTGCGTATGCCGAGAGTAACGTTTATTGATGTCTATGTGGGTACAATGAAATTTTGGTTATATCGTGGTTAGCTATGTGGTCCCAGAGACCGTGTTAACGTCTGAAATGCCTCTGACTCAACTTCGGCCTACCAACCTGAAAAAACCCTTTATAGGGAAACATGCAGGTGGTTCACCCGCCTGAATGAAGCAGAGTCACTCTGTAAAACAGAGCGTGGGATTTAGAACTTGGCAGAAAGACGTGTTAACCCGGGGTGTCAACTTTAACTCCCGTTAAAACCTGAATAATGTTCATTGGTGCAGCCCCAGAAGGCTTCGTATGATACAGCCCCAGAAGGCTCAGCCCCAGAAGGCTTCATCTGATACAGCCCCAGAAGGCTCAGCCCCAGAAGGCTTTATAATACAGTCCAAGAAGGCTCGGCCCCAGAAGGCTTCATCTGATACAGCCCCAGAAGGCTTTGTCTATAACCCATAAGGCATTACTGTCCAGAATGGTTTGTTCTTTGTGCTGCCCCTGAAGGCCATGTTCTCTGAAAATAAACTATAAACGTGTTATTTTATGATATAAGAGCCATTTCGTATATTCTATTTTAAAATGTATAACATCTTTATTAATTTTAACTATTGTACAATTTTTGTGGCTGAAATTTAGGTGTTACTCGTGTAGGCAAAAAGCCGAGAATGACTACCTTAGTTTCATACTACCCTTTGTTCAAAATACTACTTTTCTATTGGCTACTACTTTACACTCAGAATCTAACCTCGTTCTATTTCAGCAACTGCTAACAAAATGATCAGAAAATTATTTTCAATCTCATTCATACTTCAAAACGATAGAAAATATAAATATTACTTGAATAGTAAATTTCTATATCGATGCGCTTTAGACATGTTGGACAACCATATTAATTAATAAGTATAATCACAGGTGTCCAAGCACAATCACAAAGAGTCCAGACCAATAAATTATGAGTCTACACTAATTTGATACAATGGACCAAGCACAAGCAAGGGAGAATGTCCAATCAAATGGAACCAAATATAACCACTAAGGAGAAAATAATTTAGGATAAAATACTAGAGTGAGATATTATTAGAGAGTAAAACCACATAGGAACATGTACAATCACATAGAATGAGTCAAATAATATGGTATCAAGAAAAATCACAAATGAATGCATAAGAAGAGCATGTACAATTATTTTGGACCAATCAGGAACAAGATTTATCATATTTGCTCAGATGCAGTAATATTGTCTTTATCCAGTGAGAATGGCATTGATCTAAGGTATGATTTTTACATGCAAGTACATAGTTTTATGTGATTTTACTTGATCTTATGAGTGATTTTACTCCATCTTTTGTTTTAAATTAGCTTCAAATTTTTGTCAAATTGGTAAGATTCAAAAATCAGAAAAAAACATGTATGCCCTCGAGGCTATAATTTAAGTTTTCCATTTCATCTAGCGACCACATCTAATATAATCTGTGCTTACTGGGGTCATGGAAAGGCAATTCTCTGGGGTCCCAAGACAACAAACTCTTTCAATCTCTGTGGGCATTTGTCTGCATTTTCTGCATGTGCACCATGTGGCAACATCTGGGGTGGGATTAGGATGTGGGGAATTTGGTTTCACCACATCAAAAATGATGCCTGGCACTCTCTCTAGAACTTTCAATAGGAGGTCTCTGCACTTTTCTAGCAAGAGGCTCGCAATTTCTTTCTGAAAATATACAAATGAAATGAATAAAAGAACAGGTCCATTTCACAAAATGATCATAGCAATATTTGTCTATGGACGAACGGACGAACGGACTAAACAGGTCATTTCTGATGAGATGGTCAAATATTCTTTCGAAAATAATGCGTTCAGCAATTTTTGATAAAGAACAAAGAAGATAATTGGACGATAATTTTTGACATCAGTTTTATCACCTTTTTTATGAATAGGCAAAATGTGACCAAGTTTCCATTTTTGTGGAAATGAATTAAGGGTAAAAATCTTGTTAATTAATTTTGATAAGGTTGCACAAAAAGCTGGCGCTGCCATTTTTAACATTCTGTGACTGATTTGATCAGGGCCCGTGACTTTGTTTATATTAAGAGACAATTCAAAGACTTCATCTTCATCGGTGGATAATTGGAAATTTTTGATGAAATGAGACAAAAATAAATTTGCCTTGCCGTGGCTTTTAACAATGTGTTTCCCATGTTGGTCAAAGGGTAGCGGTATTTTCGAATTTTTTGATTTGCCGAGAAGTTTTGATATTATGGTCCAGTATGACGTACTGCCATTTTTAAAAGTTGATAATTTCTTCCACATGTTTGAGTCAAAGGCATCTTTAGCCTCATTTATCACTTGATTCACAGGTGTACATTGTTCATAATATTTGTATAAGTATGTCAAATTGTGAGATTTTCGATATTTGGAATGAAGTTTGTTTATCGGCAGAACGAAGAAATTTTCTTTTTTTATCAAAATTTGCGTGTAATATTTAACTTATTTCAACCATCAAATTCCTCCATTTATTGGTACTTCCGGGCCACTTCCCGGCCAGTCAAACGGGGAATCCCCTTTTAAATCCAATCGCCATCTTGAATGGTGATGGAGTCTCTCTCGATGAAAAAGAAAAGTGTTCCTGTTCTGCGGATAAACCCAGATAATTTGGAACCTTCAGAGGAATGTATATCCTGACTTTCAAACAAAAATATTGGTTTGGATTTGTAGTCTCGAACTTTGAGAAACTTAGATGTAGCACAGTTTTGTGACCTAGTTTGATGACCTTTGACCTTGAAAATTTTACTTATTTAGAGCTCAGTAAGGACTTTTGTGATTAAGCTGACCAAAATTTACATCCAAAAATCAATTTGAAAAATCAACTTTTTTGACCTTTCAAAGGTCAAGTAAAGGTCAAATCTTAAAACTAATGTCAGATTTGAACTTCTGGTAACTTGTAGATGATTTTCAAAAAAATTTGGTCAAATTGAAGCAAGTTGAAAAATAACTTATTTTTACGGTTTTTTGATGTCAAATATCTCAAAAACAGTAAAAATTTGATGCTGATATACATTGAGCAATATGTACGGAATGCTTAAATCTAGTTATGGTGTAATTCATTGAAAGAAATGATCAAGTATAAGGCAAACTTTGAGAAACTTGTCAATCACAAAACCTGCCATTGACTTTATACATGAGAAAGTTTCCTGAAAATGACATACATCTAAGTCCTACTTTTTGTCAAATTTTATAGAGTAAACACCAAAAACTGTAATTCCAAGAGCTTTGAAATCTTCAGAGGACATACATTGCATATGCAGCAACGACTACAAGTTATTTGAAAGTTCTACTTCAACAAAGTGTCTAGTATTTACAGAAAATTTGACTTTTTGACGTCAAAATCAGCAATTTCTCGGAAACCAGGCGAACTTGGGAAATGGCGATGATAGGTCAAATAGGCACTATGGATATGCATAAAATGAATGTGGATATGACTCAATCCGAATAGCAGTTTTAATTTGTGCGGCCAATGTTGACGGACGGACAGACGGACGGACCAACAGACGGACACCTGGTCGATCCCATAGGCTCACTGTGTGAGCCAAAAAGAATGCTAAAATACCCAGGAATCTAGGTATCAGTTAACCAAACCCGTCTTGCCCAGTTATCTACTCTGATATCGTAGATCTGGGCCAGACTCGATCCAATGCAAAAAATGGGGTATTTACTCCGGAAAAAACACACTGGTTTTTCAATGTATAATACGTGCTGATAAATGAATAAACATCATAAAAATCACTTACGTGTTTGTTCCTTGTATCAAACTTTGTATTTATATTAGGTTTCCATCGCTGGATGACGGCTAATAAATAAGAACGAAACGTCTAAACGCAGCAAAAAGAAAAATTCTTCTGCAATCTGTTCGTGATCTCGTAGAATATCGAGAAGTCTCGGCTGCTTATTTCGTTCAGTACTACATTCCGTCAGTTCAACAAATTGAAAAATCGTATTTAATGTCCACCATATTTCTTTCCAGTTTAAATACAACACAGACACGTCTGTTTTATAAAGTAATCTACGTTTTGATAACAAATCTGCTGAACAAATCGTAATATTTGGAATGTATTGATTCCCGGGAAATGTATTTTCGTTCCATGAAAGTTTAAAAATTATCGCGTCACACTCGTGTTACGTCACATCACGTGACTTTATTCGGTGCGGAGAACTGACGAAATATTGACGAAATGTTGTGCCCATTTCAACATCAATATAACAAACAAAACACCACATTTACGCGTAAGTTATGTTCTCTTTATTTCAAATAAATACTTGGGTTTACATGGTACCCGATGTTTTTGTTGGATGGCTAATAGGGAATGAATAATAAGTGATGATTCAGCAGTGTGTTTTTTCCGGAGTAAATACCCCCTTTTTTGCATTGGACCTAGTCTGGCCCTAGATCTACGACAATTCAGAATCGGGAGTAGATTACTGGGCCAGACTTACTCACTTCGAGAGCCATGTTAGATTTTGAAACTTATGGCTCTCAAACGGAGAAGTGAACAGCTGATCAATAGTGACCTTTGAAATTGAATTAAGTCGATCCGCGGCTTACTTTTGGTCTCTAACTGTGTCTTACATCAGTATCATCAATCCGTGTAAGTATTGGAGCGCTGGAGTACTTCTTTTTCGATCAAGACTTGTAAATTGTTCATCGAGTTAAAGTTTTACAGACCTATTTCCAATATGGCGGTTTGCTAGGTGCGAGATACGCAACGAACGAAATGAATTTTGAGAATTAGTTAGGTTCGGACAACCTCCGGAGATTTACGAAAATGTCCGAGCAGAAACCGCCATATTGGAATTTGGCAGTAAAACGATTCACTCGACCTAACAATTACAAGTCTTGATCGAAAAAGAAGTACTCCAGCGCTCCAATACTTACACGGATTGATGATACTGATGTAAGACACAGTTAGAGACCAAAAGTAAGCCGCGGATCTACTTAATTCGATTTCAAAGGTCACGATCACTGAGCTGTCCAAATGCTCCGTGGGAAAGCTATTATATCAAAATCCAAATAGCTTTCGCAGGAAGTAAGGCCAGACGGGTTTGGTTAGGTATCAGTGCAAGAGGCGTAGAAAATTCTCCCATGTTCTTATCGTACAGGCATAAGATTGAGACGTTCTCAGGACTATAGTCCTGGCATGGGATGATGTCATCTGGTTCATAAATCAAATTCCGAGCACACTATACTTTTCAAAAATCAGCTGATTTTTGAACTTTGACAGTAGCATGCATGACATGATAACATGTCAATATTTGAATCTGAGAGAATTTTAGAATTTTTCAACAAAATTAACAAAATTATAACTCACTTTTTGAGGATCTTCAGGAAAGATCTCAGGGAATTCGATTATTTTCCTTTCATTCGATTTCCCATAAACAAAGTAAACGGCAATCAGGCAAATAATAGAGACGAGCGAGTAGAAGCAGAAGTAAAACCGTAGGCTCATCGTGTACTTTTTCTGGTTAATGTTTGACCCCTGACCTTGACCTTTTGACAGATCATAATAAACTAAAATAGAATCGAGTATACACAGTCATTAATCGATATTGATATGCTTCGATTCTTTCAATCACAAAGAAATATAATATTGAATACAGGTGATTCATTTTTGCAACATGTATATGTCTTGCTACTATGAAAACCTGTTCTTAGTTTGGATTTAACTTCCGTATATCCGGGCACCTGCTTCAGTCATGACGTCATCGTTCCACCCCATGTGAAAAATATTGAACAAATTTCAAGATGCTTATTAGAGAATTGTGAGTATAATACTGGATATAATTATTCGAAATATATACCGAATATTCATCTTTATATTACCTATCGAATAATACCAAATTAAAAGTCTAATCTCTTCTAAGAGTACTAGATTTCGATACGAGAGTGATGAAAAATTTGGTTGCTTGGAAAAATTAAGGCTGGAAAATCAACAAATATTTTTTCCTATTTTCAGTCGTGTTGTGCTGCCCATGACGGTGGAAGAGGTAAGTGGGTAACATGCTATCATTGCGTGATAAGGTGTATGTAAAAGCACATGGTAAAATGACCTTTTGATCTTTCAAACTGAATAATTGCTTATCAAGGCAATCAATTTGTCTTGTTGACAGTACAGACAACGACTCATCAATGTCATACGATGCAAGGAGGATTGTCAGTCATTATTCAAACTCCATATTCTGTCGCCTGGTGTGGAACAATTTAGTAAAAATATTTCTACAAGGTTCTCAGACAAGCATTTCGTTGGAAGATGGAAATAACGAATATTATGGTAGATTTAATATTCAAAATTCTTTGGCCGTTCTAGTCTTTAGAATATGAGAAGTATTGTTACCAAATTGATCTACTCTGGGCAACGAAGTATCGAGTTTGAATAACGGCTTAGAATTCTCATTGGATACGATGCATAGTCATTTGAAATGTCTTCCCATTATAAAAAAATGAACTTTGGTAGGGTTATCAGAATGGGTAGACTCATCTGGCAAGCAAAGCCTTATAGCTTTAATCTCAGGATATTGGCAGATTCTCTGTTCTTTGTGATACTGATTAAGGCTCAGAAATTCCTGATAATATAGAACATAATCAATAATTATTCCAAGAAGTGTAATACCAAGTATATATAGAAAGACTAAGATTCATGAAGACACCAAAATATAAAATAAGACAATGTTTTAGTGTTCTAATATGTGTATTTCTATTGCCAATAAGCTCATTAGCCTTTACAGATAGTTAAAATAAGCGTATCCTAAGGGATAACTTGTAAATTGATAGTTGTGAAGGTGCAAAAAGATATCAGGATAGAGAATGTCATGATACATTATGTAAGATGATTAGTCGCCAACCTTCATTTCACTATATACGTGTAGCTTTGTTGTGGTAACTTCTTGAGACACAATAGTCTGAATAGGAAATTAGTATGTCTCAAACAATGATCTTGGAATTTTACTCTTAGGAGTTAGAATTTCAACAACAATTTCACATTAGCATCAGAACGTAGTCGGAAGAAATTTGATTTATAATGTTGTGGCATCCCTGGTTTTTATAACAAAAGGTATATCCTGGTATAATATCCCAGGATCCATGAAAATGTTATTATATCAAAGACAATAGTGGTACCTTTATAATAAATGCTTCAGATATTATTTATCATTATTATTTCATTATAATTGTTGTTTATAATATAATGCTATAGGGGTAGTTTTGCATACTGTTTGTTGCTTCAATCGTGCAACAGGGTACTGCGCCCAGATGCACCCTGTTGAAATTTACTTGTAAATACCTGTAAAAATACTTGCACCATGTCAAAAAGATTGAATAATAAACATTGAGATGTCTAACCCAACAAGATGTAAGATTAAGATTGAAAAAAGTGTTGCTTATAAGATCATAGAATCTCAATCTCAAATGTAGATTTTATGAGTTTGAATATGAAGATGTTTTTTGCTACTTAAAAGGTATAACATTATCTACGATTTTCTGCCTCTAGCTCTATATTCTGACTAGTAGATATAAACCATCTTGGTTCACAAGGTTCTGTTGCTTTAACTTCACCACCTTGATGGATGTGAACCTGATTTAAGAATTTATTTACAGTTTATTGAGCTCATGTTAAGATGACGGGTAGCTTAGTATTAAAATTCAAGAATTTATTTACAGTTTAATGAGTTCTTGTAAAGATGACGGGTAGCTTAGTATTAAAGTTCAAGAATTTATTTACAGTTTAATGAGCTCATGTTAAGATGGAGAGTAGCTTTTTAATTAAAATTCAAGAATTTATTTACAGTTTTTTACAGTTTAATGAGTTCTTGTAAAGATGTGGGGTAGCTTAGTATTGAAATTCTGCTTAATTCAACCTGATAACTAATATAATATTAGTAGAAGTTGTTTTTAAAACAGTACAGTAAAACCTGTCTTAATGAACACCTCTCTCTAGTGAACACCTGTCCCTAGTGGACACCCTTCCTACGCACATAGTCCACTGACTTCTGTATAAATTACCCTCTCTCTAGTGAACACCTACCTACAGTGAACGTTTTTTCTTGGCAAAAAAATGTTCACTATACACAAGTTTTACTGTAGTTAATTGGTTGTATTTGTGCCTATGTTCTGTATGCTAGGAATATTCAAAGCATAAGGGTTTTATAATTGATTTCAGATTATGAATGAATGAATTGATTAGAATACTAGAAACAAGCATTATTGCTATATTGAACAAATTAACTTGCATTGTGATTTGTAGTAGGTATTGTTGCTATGGTTACTCCAGGATATAGTTTTTAAGAGGTTTGCAAATTATTCAATAGGGAGTTTAAGCTTGCATTTATCGAATTGCCCATTCAAATGCATCGGTTAAATATTTCCATTCATGTTTAGGTTGCGAAAAACATAGCAAGCTTAAACTCTCTATTATCTCATACATTTACTCGTTATTCACTTACTTTCTTGATCTACCAACATTTGATAAATAGACAGATGAATTAATTAAATATTACAGGGTGTCCGGAAAGTAAAGATACAAATGCTCTTATTTTAAGAGATTTGGGTCTTTTGAAATGAAACTGCTACAGATTGTAGAGGAAGATTATCACAATATATCTATCAACTTTCATCACATATAGTCTTAACGTGTTCAAGTTATGGTTGTTATGGTTATGGCTGTGAGGGGTATGTGGAGCAGTTCCAGAAAATCGCTAAAATGTCAAAAATTGCTAAAATACAGCCATCTGAAACAGTGTTTATTGTCGTATTTTCTTTCAATGTTTTGCTAATTTTTGTTTGTTGTTTGTTTTATTACTGCTGTAGTTTTTCTTTTCTATAATGATGTCATTGCTACATATCAGAACTATTTTATGTCACTAACCAGTATAATCAAATAAATATCATACAAGTGTTTAGAAAAAACAGCCTCTGGATTAGTTGGAAAGTCAATATTGCATCTCCATAATACACCCAATCTCAAAGCGAAGAAAACAATTCTTACAATGGATTGTCTTGACAATAAACCTTTCCATACAATGCCCCATATTCACCTGATAGAGCCTTTTTTGACTTCTACCTAATGACCATCTGAAAGCAATATTTGTAAGAAGTTCAACATACAAAATGAGTCTCAGCTAAAAGTCAATGCTATACACAATTTAAGAGACGGACAGCAATGATTTTGTCAAGTCTTTGAATCGGCGGTCAAGATGCACTAAAAATGTTTAGATAATGGGGAAAATATTGAATATTCAATGATAGTCATTCTGATACTCATAGCATCTTTCTGTTTCACCTGAAACATGCTCTGGTATTATGAGGCATATTTTGTGATCTGAGCACATCAGATGGGAAGAGTTATAACTGTCAATAAGTGTGATGGTTATCATGTAATCATTTACCTAATGTCAATACATTACATAATAGGCATTGTATTTAACAGCAGATATTAGCATAGGCATGTGTACAAAAGTTTAATGACCCCAATTAGATGAAATATGAGCTGGGATGAAAGATCTCAAAAATCCTCAATTTTGGGCTCTCCTGGATCACCAAATCAAGCTCATTATATCATGGCATCTCAGGGCTGAGAAGAAATGAGATGTCATGGTGTATCATGATGAATGATAGTAGTTATATGAAGAGATCAAATTATGTTACGGTACTAATCCTTATGCTGTTGTAGTACATAATTTGATGTAATATAGGAATAGATGGTAGAATGCCAAGATGCTATGAGCAGGAAAGAGATTTGTAAAATACATTTGTGACGTTGCTCCACATACCCTCGACTCCCGTTACCATAACGACCATAACTTTTTCATTTTAAAACTAAAAGTCATGACCGTTGCAGGATATATTGCTATAATGTCATTCTACATTCTGGAGCAATTTCATCTCATAACATGTAAATCTCTTAAAATGAGAGCATTTGTATCTTTACTTTCCGGACACCCTGTATATACATCTATCTATAATCTCACATGTGAAAAAAATGAGATCTATTCTGTCAAATGTGTGTCTTAAGTCACTAAGTCAATCTTAAGATATTAAGATAAATCATACAATTGTCATCACATTTAATTAACAACATATCTGAGGTAGTACAGTAGCTACAGATTCGATTACTTATTAATTAGAAATATGTTTACATGTATAACCCAGGAGTAACTTATTGATTTTATTTGCAGTATTATTTTTCTATGTCCAGATCAATCTGAACACATGCATTATTTTGTCCTCATATAATTAACATATCTTGATATCAATTTACATGCACTGCAATGAAATATCTTGATCTAGGGGCCGCAGCAATCTGTCCTCTCACTTCTCATAGATTTCCCCAGTATTAAAGCAAGTAGGTTATGCAGTGCACTCACTTGAGATGTTTGATTGAGGCTTGCACTCATTTTATTATCTTTTGGCACTCACTTGGATATGATAACAATCATGAAAAATATGAGTGTAATTTGACCAACTTTGGTCTGAATTGTAAAAATGAGAATTCTGCACCTACTTGATGCAAATATCGCTGGGAGAACACATCTTTAAATGCATCTTGGTTGCAACATGCAATAAAATTTATTTTTGAATGTTTTACTTTTCAAATTCTCAAGTGAATTGTACCAGAATACTTAAGTAAATTTTCCTTATGCAAACACCTGTCTATTTCGAAGATATTTCAGTCTGAATGGTTTTTCCCAGTGGCGTTTGGTTTAGGCAGGTTTTACTGTATGAGAAATCACTGTATGGTATACAGAAAACTAGAATGTACTTCATGTTTAGGAGTATTGATATTTGATTATTGTATTATAACAGGATAATCAGATCAGCTGTCTATAACAAATAGTCTATCACTGATAAGTCACTGGTGTGAATTGACCTTTATGTTTCTCATATATGTGTAGCTATCTCAAAACCTTTCCATAGTCCGTACCCATTTGAAAATAAGGAAAAATTGGCGTATCTAGTCAAAATTGAGAAAATGAGAATTTCTTCTCTATCCACC